GAGCTCTACGACACCAAGCGACGAGTTAAATACCTCGCGTTGCTCGGTTCGCCCGTCGAGCAACGGAGCGACGGAAAAAGCGGTATACTCTTTTAAAAGACCACTTCGATCCGCGCTTGATCGATACACTGCCACCTGAAGCTGCACCAAGTAATAAGAGGATAATAAAATTATAGAATTGATGTAAGAAGGAATTTTTCCAGACAATTACACAACGAACGTAGCTCTTGAAAATTTGTATCGCCGGCAAATTTATGTTGTACTACAGAACTTTTAAGTTTCTTTATGGGAAGGTCCACCGACGATTCACGATCCACCCCCTCTTCTCGTTTCAGCAGCCGAAATTCCTCAAGAGGACGACCGAGGAGTTGGAGCCAGCAGGCGGTGCTAGTGGCGATGGCGGGTTCGGCGAGCCGCCGGTTAAGATGCAGTGCACGCAAGGGCAGCATCAGCATCAGCAGCAGGGTCCGGGCGGCGGCGGTGGTGGCGGGCCTCATCACGGCCACGGCCAGCATCAGCCGGGGAACGGCGCGAACTCGACGGGTCCGGCGCCCGGTGGCGGCGGTGGCGGTGGCGGCGATGACGGGAACGAGGGACTCACCAAGTTCCACGTGCAGATCGTACAGCAGCTGGAGTTCACGACCTCGGCGGCGAATAACTCGCAGGCTCAGCAGATCTCCACGAACGTGACGGTGAAAGCGCTGACGAATGCATCGGTGAAGAGCGATCTGTTAAATGCGTCCTCATCGCCGAAGCCCGGTCCGGATGCGTCCGCATCCGCTACGTCTAGGCCGCCCGGGAACGGCAATGGTCCCGGAGGTCCCGGAGGTCCAGGAGGTCCTAACGGGCCCGGCGCGACTGGTAGTGGCGCCGGTGGAGCCGGTGGCAGCGGCGGCATAGGCTGCGTTGACATCGGTAACCTCGTCGAATGCAAACAAGAACCCGACAACGAGTTCGTGGATCTGGAACAGTGCGCCGCGGCACTGGAAAAGGACGCCGCGGCGAACGGTACCGGTTTCCCCGGCTTCTCCGAGTTCATGGGCGAGGACACCGGCGACGAGATCATCACGTCGGACGCGTTCAAGGATCTCATATCTGAGATATCGGACTTCCATCCGGAGTTCATGAAGGACTTTGACCTCAAGGACTTTGAGGACAAGAACGTAGACACGCTGGCGAACAACGCGGCTGCAGCGGCCGTGGCCGCCGCAGCCGCCGCCGCCAACAACAATAATAATGGCGGTAACAACAATAACGGTTTGCCGACGACGAATAACGGACAGATCAAGATCGAGGACGACAAGGACGCGATCCATCAGCAGCAGCAGCAACAGCAGCATGCCAACGGCGCGAACAACGGCGTCAACAGTAACAATGTCGGTAACAATAACGGTAACGCCATGCCTGCCAACTCGAGTCCGGGCGCTCTCGGCTCCTCGCAATATTCCCCCGCTCGACTTCCATACTCCGGGCTGGACTTTAAATCCGAGATGAGTCCGGCGGCACAGACGCTCAAGCAGATGGCCGAGCAGCATCAACACAAGAGCCAACAACTGGGCCTGGGTGGATTCAACCCCGCGGCGGCCGCCGCGGCCGCCGCCGCGCGGGGCCCGGCCACGAGGTCCCCTTACGCCGAGTTTTCTCAATTCGGCGGCGCTTCCGATTACCTCGGTAGTCCGGGCAGCGCCGGCCCGACCGGTGGACAGAACCAGGCCACCGCCGCGGGGACCGGCTCGTACCACAAGAACAATGGCACGCCGACCTTCCAGAGTCAGCAGACCAACGATATGTTCGTCAGCTCACAGACCCAGTTCGCCGCGGGCCTCACTGATATGAAGAGGCCCCAGCCGACCGCGACGGGCGGCAAGCCCGGCATGCTGGGGCCCAGCGGCGGTTACAAGCAACAATACTCGCCGTATGGTAGCCCGGGCTCGATGCCGAATCACGGCAGCCCAGGATACCCATTGCCACCAAGAGGTTCGCAGGGAGGTGGACCTAACCCGACCGGTTCGCAGGGACCCTTTAACACGACTTCCACGCCGCCGAGACCTCCCTCGGGATCCGGTACTTCGACCTTGCAGATCAACCAGGCGCAGCAGCTGCACATCGGTAACCAGATTCAGGTAAGTGTAATAACTTTTTTCCTACCCCGGATCGATTTTCTCGAAAACGAAATCTCGCGCGGAAAATACCTATTCCGCAAATGACATTTGCACGAGAGATAGCATTTTGTATCTTGGCATTTCAACGAAGGAAAAATGGTATTGTGCATCATGTTATCTAGTTACAGGGGAGAGTCCGCGTGTATGAGATACCGAATTTATTTTTTGTAATTGCCGGAAATCTACGGGCACAATTATAAAATATCATAGCTCATTTTGGAAAAGAATTTAATAAGCTTTCAGATGCTGAAATGTAAAATTCAATTCAATATTAGTCTTTTTGAAAATTAGACAAATATGAAAAATGAGCTTTGCGCGAAATCGAAACAGTGCTCGTAATATGAGGTGCCCCGAGAAATTGCCAATAAGGTGCAAAATATTGTTGCGTCCGGCTCCGCCGTCCACACGACACCTCGCGCACTCGCGCACTCGTCGGCTCGACTTCCGCTCGCGGCGCACGCCACCGGGCCGCGAAGAAATCAATAAAGATTGGAAATCAACAAGGGAACTTTATTTAGTAAAGAACACACGTCTGTACTCTCCAAGAGCCCAGAGACAGAATCACAAAATCAATAATCAACAACCGCGCATCGGTCCTTCGTGACCGATCTTTTAAACCGCCGCGACTTCAGCCCGCGGCTGGCGCGCACTCCCAGGGCGTCGCATCCGAGCACGGGCGTAACAATATATAAGTATTGCAATTAGAAGTTTAGTAAATGTTTATGAAATACAAATATAATGAAAAAGAAGTTCTCTCAAAGTTCTCGTATAGCCAACACTGACATAACATGTAAGTCTATAAGTCTATAAGTCTATAAGTCTACTGAAAACTGCGCAATTTCGCTTTTTCTAACATTCTCAATTTTAGTTTTGGATTGTAATGACTATTCTTTCAACACCACCATAATACATGCGAGTCTTTGTACATGACTACCTCAGGTAACACACAATTTATGTAATCGCCAACTTATTATCTCGGATATGATGACTTTATTAATTTGTAAAATTTAATTTGTATCAGTCACGATCGCTAGAAAAGGACCAAAACCCATGGTCGAAACGTCGCGATACTAAACCATTAAAATTGCCAGATATGGTCAGCCAAATGTGATGTTGTTAACTTTTGTTGGCGACCCTGAAGAATTCCTTATCAGTTTATAACGAAAAAGCTTAAAGATTTTTAACCTGACGATGAGTCACACAAGTTTTTCGTTTACGCCCTCGTTTTGGGGATGGTGTTACCTGGATGTTTTTTTTCTTTTCATTAACACTCGAGCATATTGTTGCGCGTCCGCACACTCTCTGGTCCGCCGCGAATTAACGACACGCTAGTAATAACTCAATAAGGATCTTTATTCTGGAATTTGTACAGAGCCGTTCTGCCTAAAACCGGAAACATTCGCCGGAGTCCGATCAATAATAAATAACGTAAAGGTATGCACGCTTCCGGAAGAGAGGCATGCTTCAGCCCGAGCGCGGAAGGGCCGTCTTTATGCGGGCGCAACAATATGTTATCTCGTACAAGTACCCTGAATATCTTATAATACAAGCTGCACGCCTTGCGGCTTCGCGATCACCAAATCTAATCTCAACAATTAAACATATCCCGTATTTTCCCATTAATACAATCTTACTCTATCACTGCATGCAGAATTTATTGCCAAATGTTGCATTTATTTATTACATAATACACAAGGTTTAAAAACTCACCTCAAAACAACTTGATATCCAATTTCTTAAATATTTGTTCATAACGACTACATGCACGATCGAATTTTTTATTAAATAGTTTTCACTCCAAGAATAATAAGTTTACAGTGGAACCAACTGATGACTTATTAGTTCAGCAGAAATTTGCTATCTTATATTAGTAGCCTGCCTCATATATATATATTGCGGGTTTCTCTTCTATCGATTTGAAATTAATTACGCGATTGAAATAATGCATTGGGTTGATGCATAAGTTTGTCCCGTTTTTAAACATTCGCGCACTTTATATACGAATTCGATCTGCTATCAACTTCAACACTTATATGACGCATTAAACATTTGAAAGTAGCAATTGAACGGAAACTTTACTGTCAAATTTGTTGTCGTCGACTGACGTTTGTGAGTCGTGTAAATTTATAGAGATGGATAGAAAGAAGCATCACCTTCGGCATATTATGCTTTTTTATTTTCGAAAAGGCAGAACTGCTGTTCAGACTGGAAGAAAAATATGTTCTGTCTACGAAGAAGATGCTATTGATAATTCCACCGTTCGTAAATGGTTCCGGCGATTTCGTAATGGAAATTTTAATCTCACGGATGAGAAACGTTCTGGACGGCCTTCCGAAGTTGACAGTCACGAAATCTTGGTCTTGATTGAAACTGATCGTCATAAAACAACTTGTGAGATTGCTGATATCACTGATTAAGTGTATATTGACAAAATATTATATAGGGTAAAGGCAGGTATTATGGCCATAGTTTTGATTTGAGGTCATAATTTTCAAACCGCTGGTTTTTTTATTTTGTAACTTTCTGAAATTCTAGTGTATTTAATAAGCTTTGATGACAAAATGTTTTGATCAATTAAAATCTATCCATATTCGAAGAAAAAAAAAGAATCTGAAAGTATGCGTTTTGGCCACATTAAATTTGGGGTAGATAATATGGCCAACTATAAAAAAAGTACACAAAACAGTAATATTTTGCAAAAGTGAGGTATTTACTTTAATCGTAAAGTATTACTTTAATCGTACAGAACATAAACTTTGAAATATTTTAAACATACGAATACACATTTAAGAAATGTGTATGTGTATATCCACTCTCTCTACGTAACGCCGTGCTCTCACAATTTAGT